AAAAAAAAATTAGATTTTCGAGATCTTTTAGCTGAATCTACAGGATACACATACGGAGGAGATCAACAAATGAGTTCTGAAATACACCATACGACTACAAAACTAACTAATGAAACCTACAATAATGCCGTAAGAATAGTTAAATTTAATATTCATCTTTGAAATATTTTTCTGTATAGGTACATAATGATATCTATCATGATATTGAATCTGAAACTATAAGAGAATTATCACGTGATACAGCTTATGATGCTCAAAATACTGAAAAAACTTATGTTAGTCAAGTTCAATTAAATGCAATAGAAAAAAATGCACAAAATAAATTATTAGATACAATATTTATGGATCAATTAATTGCAAAATATATCCGACAAAAAGGATCTGTTGTTGATGTTGATGATCTATCACGTTTTCTCGATGGTATAGTTTTATTTCAATACGCATATATATTATGAATTAAAATTTATTTTAGCAACTGTAATTGATAATTTAATTTATCATTATCAAGATATTAAAGATAGTCGTTCGAGAACATTAGATAATTATGCTTTAAGAAAATTTCATCTAAATTCATTTATGAATATGGTAAGAATTTTTTTTTGTTTTTGATTTATTAAAATTTTTCGATTTGTTCTAGACAATGGATTTATTACTAACTGAATTAAGTGCTAGTCTTATTGAAGATATGAAAGATTTAGATGAACAAGAACGAAAAGTATTTTAAATTTAACTAGATAATTTATAAAATAAGACGAACAATCCTATGAGATAGGATCATAGACATATTTGAATTCTTCTTGTGATATTATTTATCCGCTTATAATGCATGTGATTAATATATATATTTCTACTGATTAGTATGTGTTAATGTGTGGAATTGTTTCTTTTTTTTTTTTATTTCGAAATTTTTCTTTTATAATTGAACGTCTTCATCATACTGTTATTCAGTATTGTTGCATGCTTGTATATTCATTTGTTTAAATAAACATCTGTATCAGAAAACAATTTGATGAAAACATAACAATCATCTGATGTAAATGTTTATGAACTTAATTATTGATGCATGATATTTATCAATTGTTGAATAATGTTTATTTTGTGCTTCGATTAGGTAAAGATTTATGATTTTGAAATAAAGTTTAATGGATTCTTTGTACTTCAATTGAAGGTAAAAGAAAATACCTGAAGGTTTCTTTTTTTAGTTAAATAAATCGAAAAGAAACATCCATTTATAAGTAGATCGAATAAGATAATTAGTGTTTTCATTCGCTTTGATCGTTTGTTTTGTTTGTGTTTAATGTACCAAAAGATCAGTACAAAATCTCTTCTAGTTTCTCATACCAATCGAAACATATCCGACAAGTCACTTCTCTAGATTATATAATGAACTATTTTTATAAGTAATGGAAATGTGCATTGTATTTGTATTGATTCACTGACCGCATGTGCATAATAAGTAGTCCTTCTAATAAGATATTGTTTTTCCTGATAAAAAAAAAAAGAAAAAAAAATATATATATGCATATTTTTAAATAATCTTGTGATATAATTCTCTTATTTATTTAAGAGAAAAAGAAAACTTTATTGATTATTGAAATACAAATAAGAGCAAAAAAAATTTATTCATTCTAATTGAATAACAGACAGTGCACACATTATTCAAGACAAAGCGGGAGTAGAGCGCGAAAGAGATATATAACATGTATCACAGGATGTATATTCTCTATTGATTTAGAATTTTGAAATCTTTTATGTTGCTTGAAATTGTGCAAGACGATTTTGAAATGCAATTTTACGACGAGCTTTCTCTTCTTCCATACGACGTCGTTGTTCTTGTTCTTCACGAATCTCTCGTTGAAATTTATCTCCTTCTCTAATAGCAGCAGCCTAAAGAAAACAATAGAGAAATATATTTCTCAAAATCTCATATATAGATGATTTACTTTAGCTTCAAAAAAATTCTTTGCACCACCAACACCTTCTTTTGCTACATCAATTTCTACAAGCATTGAATATAATTGTTGTAAAACAGATGCAATTGTTGTTTTTTCATTTTCAATTTCACCATGAACTGACATTGCTTTTCGGAAAATAAGTAAAAACTAAATATTAAATATACATGAAGATCAATTACATCAGAAAAACAATATATTTTTACTTCTCGAAATGATATTTTTCCATCTTGATCTTCATCAACTTGTTTAATCATTTCTTTTAAACCTAAATGTGTTTGTGGAATACCAAGTTTTTCCATCATTATTTTTAATTCATTAAAATTAAGTGATCTATCTCTATCTGTATCATATCTTCAACAACAAAACAAAAAAAATTAAAATCAAATACTAAAACATAATAGATAAATTTTCTTACTTTTCAAATGTTTGCATTAGGCTTTGTATTTGTTTACGTGAAAATTCAGTATATTCAGTATATGGATTAAATACAATAGGTCGTTGATATTCATAACCTGTTGATGATGATGATAGAGGTGAGTCTGGTTCATCGGTTGTTCCTGTACCATAACTATTCCCATTTATTGATGATGTTTCCGATGATGATTCAGCTGATTCAATACGACGTATACGTTGACTAAGTTTTTGTGCTAAATCTGAATCCATTGAAAAGGAATATTTTTTGTTGTTTTCTAAAAATGTTGATCGTTGTTATTTTTAAAGAATTTAGTAAAATATAATGATGTGTACAACAACTTCTAAGAGTGTTGTGTCATACATAAGCTCTCACTATAATATGTAGGATTATCTCTCTCTCTCTTTAATGGAAAAGAAAAGAAAGAAGGAGAAGAAGAAGAGAAAAAAAGAGAAAATGTCGATCGGGACGGCGATACATTGTATAACACATTGTAGGAGAGAAGAAGAAGAAGAAGAGCGAGAATGATCTTCTATCTCTTTATCCGTTCGTCAGACATAGATGTGATGTCGTTCATTATAGTTTCTTACAAGGTTACTACTATTGATGATGTATATAACTGACAAGAAACATAGTAGAATAATTATTAATTTTGACTGTCAAATGTAAAATTGACAAACTTGTCTGGACATTTACATATACATGTATATATATATACATACAAGTCTCTCATTTTTCTTTATTCTTTTATCGAACGATATGAATATATATATACAATATGTGTAAACGACGAAAGAAGCAAAGTGCAAGCATGTTTTCGTACATAAAACGACGATATTACATCATGTACAAACGAATGCGATTCTATAAAAGTTTATGTTCTCATTTTCTTTTTGTTCTTATAGGAAGTTGTAGCGCTATGATATATATATAGTTGGGAGAAGAAAAGAAAGAGAAAATACATATATATATACATATGCAGAATGCTGCTGACCTTCGTGTTCATTTTTGACATCTGTCCATACATAAATATATGTATATACTCAAGAAAGCAATGGAAGCATACTCATCTACTTCAAATAAGAATAGGCTTTCTCATATATATATATACTGCTCATGGCGAGCAATAGTCGCCGACAAACTATTAACACATTTTGCAGCTGCTGCTGCTGCCGTGTATAATGACTGACTGACCTATGTGATGAAACCAATTCTTTTCAATCTATAATGAGAAAACAATAAGTCATATTCATTTTTTTCGTCAATTATAAAAACAAAAAATACGACTAAATTTTACATTTACAAATACTAGAATAAGATTAGCCAATATTGACTGAAAAACATACAAAATATAGTCAATCAATTTGTTCAGTTTACTTCCGTTTTTATCGCTTCTTTCTCACACTTCATAAAATAAACAAAAACGATTTATTATATTTTATGTATGACTATCGATCATTGTTAAGAGTACTTCATCGAGATGAAAAGAATATCTCGAAATTCTAATATTCTTTTTGCTATAAAAGAGAATGACTATAAATTCATAAAACTACAATATTTAAGAGAACGCAGTCTATTCCCACTAGAAATATATATACGCAATGTCTCTAGTGATATGTTGGGCTAGTTAATCATACATTAGTGAGTGTAATTTTAACAAGAACTCGATGGTATGCGTGACATCGATTTCATCATCGATTGGTGTTGTCAAATTGATTAATATTGACTTTCGTCATTTGTCTCCGTATTGACGACCATGAGTGAATATCGGATAATACAATTATGAAAGATAAGTTAATATAATTGTCAAATTGCTTACATAATAGATAATATAACATTAACAATATGTACAAGCCAATGTCGTCAAGTGTTTATTTTTGAAGAATATTGAAAATGCTTATGAAATAATTCATATATTTTGCTCTTTATATGATTTCTAGAATTCAATTTGTTTTCTGTTTTTATATTAATACACTTGAGAATAGTACTAATCATGGTGGAATACACATTCGTATTTAATTTAAGTACAATTTTTAGTTACTGTTAGATTGAATAACAAATTTGGTTTATATTCTATTAGTGGAAAATATTTATAAAAAACACTTCATGAAATATCATAAGCATGTGTCAGTTCGTATAGATAATATTACAAAACTTAATAATAAAGATGGACTAACGATGCGATATAATATCCAATTAATATCTAAAGTCCTTCAAGTATCATCATACAGTCAATAAATGATATTTAATACAAAGTGTATATGGAATAGATATTTTGATCAGAGCCTTTCAAAAATATATCAATTCATTTTACAGCGATACAGAGACGATGAGAAACTGTTTTTATTCAGTTGGATCTTTAACTTACCAGTAAAATGATCTTATAAGTCTTGTAGAAATATGTATACCAATGTGTCTTCTGTATTCTCTTCTTTTTCCGCGCTTGGAAGTTATTCAAAAAGAGGAAAAGCATAAATAATTAACTTATTGTTAATTTCAACCTATTTTGAACGAGTGAATAATAACATTTGATTTGCTTTTAACACAATTATCCTTGAAAATGCATTCTTCAGATCTATGCATAACAAGAATAGTTTACTATAAAGTGACATGACATTATTTTTTTTTGTCGATAAAGAATAATTAAAAAAACCATTGATTTTCGTGTAAAATACATTATTTTCTATTCATATAATGAGCAAAAAAAGTATAAATAAGTATATATGTGTAGCAAATAGGAACAAACAAAATTAGCATATAGTAGAAATAATTAAAAAAAAGAATGAAAACATAGTTATGATGTGGACGGGAGAACAATGATTCGTTTAATAGATTGTATTATGTAATTAGATGGTATCGTTGCCATTTATTTTCTAAAAGAAAAGAAAATTTAAGAAATATAATACATCTAGTTTTTTTTGTCTTTAAAAGAAAGAGCGAAAATCTCTATGAATCATTTTAGCTTCTGTCATTCTTACTTTCTCTCTCTGAGGAATACCTATTAAAATATAGAGAGTAATGTGTGTATTTGTATTATCGGATATTAATAAAAATTAAGAATATATCTTACTTTCATCTGAATTGTTTATAGCAGTTTGAATACCAGTTACCCATTGTTGAGCTTCTTGTGCATCACGTGCATATAACTAAATAGAAATGAACGATATGATGTTTTGTTCAATTTATAACGGTTCAATGAATAAATGCGACTAGCAAACATGTTCAAGATTAGTCAAAGTAATAAAAAAATCGCCTGGAAGCAGAAAAAGTCTAAAAGGATAATAGGTCATGGATCTTTCTTCTGTAGGCATAACTATTTGAGTAGATTTATCACACATGATAAGAGATGTATTAATTATACTGTAAAACTTCGATTTCACGTTTAACTAGTATACTAGCTATATATTATGAGATCCACATATAGACTTCTATTATCATGGGTAGTAAATCTGATAAAAGAATAATAGGTCGTTATTAGGAGTAGTCATATTCATCAAATCGTAAAAGAAATACGACATAAATTAATATAATTCATGTAAAGCCTGAGTACTAGAACATAGAACTACGATTAGTCATCGAATGGATCTTGCCAGATCGGTAAAAAGAAAAACTAGTTTATATTATTTACGTGATAATGTTTAGCACTATTTTGTCGATTTGACCAAGTTAATTCAAGAGATGGTCCATATTTTGGATCTTCATAATAAAGGATTTTTGCACCTTTAAGATTAATTGCCTTATGTGGTGTTCTATCAAGATCATGTTTATGTAATAAAAGTGTATTCTTTGATAAAACACAATAATAACGTTCAATTCGTTTGAAAAATGAATCTATTTTATTTGATAAAAAAAATCAATTTATTTTATATATATAATTACAAAAATAATCTTACCTCGATTTTGTTTTCGAAGCCAACCTTTAACAACATTTTCATATTCCGAAGCTGGATGAGTTGCTTCTTGTGGTGTAACATAGATTGATGTTGACTCATCATATCGCACCGGTCTTGCACCGAATTCAAGTGATGCTGTTTTATTTGCTGGTTTTAATACTTGTTCATTTTGTGATGTTTTACGTGGTATAACTTCTAAACTTCGATGTAAACTAGAATTTCTATTCGTTAATGCAACATGATTTGTTGTTGGTAAACCATACTGAATTTCAGTGTGATTTGGCATTGACACAGTTGATGATGACGAGGATGATAGCGATGCTGATCGTTGTAATTTAGGTTCAGATATTTGATATGATTTTGAATATTCATCATTACGATGAACATTTGTCACAATGTGTTCTATTGAATTTGGTTTTGGATCAGTTTCATGAGTTTCACCTACATTATAATATGTTCCTGATGAATTATTTTGATGAATTATATTATCAAGACGACTTGCTGCAGCTGGTTTTTCTGTTAAAGGTACAGCTGCAGCTAATTTAGCAGCTATTGATGGAGATGAATTACCAGATACAGGACGTTCTTGACTATTGCATGGAATACCTAGAAATAGAATCAAAAACTATTTTCTTTGATGCCGATTGAAATAAACTTACTTTTAATAAGTTTTCCTAAAGTTGAATTAGGTTCATTATTAATGATGGGTGCTTGTTGATCAACTCGTGGAGCAGGTGTCTAAAAAAGTAAAGAAGATTCTATAATATCCTATCTCAATCATTTAAAAGATATGAATATTGTAACGTAAATTACTTCTTACAGCTTTTTAATTTCTATAAGTAGAGAAATTGAGCTATGTGATTAGATTAGTTATAAGAGGTATGATCAGATCATATTTCATTTACGTGCTCATCCCATTTATGTGAATATTAAACTCAAGACAAAAGAGCATTATGCAGCCTTATTAAGAGATCTTTGCAGCTGGGACGAAGTTTTCGTTTAATGTCAGTTGTACTATACATAGACAGTCTGAAAAAGTAATTTATCTACCTATTTATATGTAAGCAATGTTTCATTTTGACTTATTATCTTTCTCATCATCATTATTAAATATCGTATTCTTTTTAAACTGTACCTTTTTACTAGATCGTCTGCTGTTATCTGTAATAACTGATGAAGAATTTGAATATTTTCTCTCTCCCGATACATCATACGATGTTTGTTGTTGATCATCTTGTTCAAGTGCTTTATGATCTAGAAAATAAAACAATCAAATAAAAAAATTTTTCTAATGTTTATACCATTTGGTTCTTCTGTTAAATATTTCTTATCATCTTGTTCACGTTGTTCATGTATAGATAAACGTTCACGAAAATGATCACGTTCAGTTTCAATTTTAAGTATTTTACTTTTCAGACGTTCAATAACTTCATCTTGTTGTCGAATAATATATGTTTGTTGATGAATCATATTTTCTAAATTCTTTAATTTTAATTCTAATTTATCACTTAATTTTTGTGCATCCGTTTCTAATTGTCGTCCTATTTTTTGAACTAAATTTGTTAATTTTTTTTTCGATTATTTGATTATCATCTGCTGCTTGCTGTTGTTGAGGATTAGGATTAATCATAACAATTCCTGAATCACTACCAACAGTTGAATAACGATCAGTTTGTTGATATGTTGGTTTAAATGTTATTGATTCATTACCATGAATTGGTGATACATACGTTGATGAAGTTTTATATTCATTTTGTTGATGATGAGGTGTTTTATCATTGACATTTAAATTAGTTGTAGTTATAAAATGTTGTTGTTGACGATTATGAATTGATATATTATCAATAGTTGGACTTGTAAAATGTGTTGAAGGTGGTGTTTCAAAACCATGATTTGTATAACGTGTCGAACTATTGTATTGAGATGAGAATTGTCGATCGGAATTAGTAGATGAAGCATCTAGATTGTATAAATATGATATATATATTGATGACATTTTATATGGGTTGAAAAAAATACTGGTAGCAATTTTATAAAAAAAAGTTATTGTGGTTTTTTTTGTCAATTGTTGAATTCATAAAAGAAAAGAATGTAATCAAAGTTTATATAACCTCTTGTCTCAAAAAAATTGCCTTTTTTTTTAAGATGAAAACATTGCTTGTTAAACTTTTATGTTCTTCAAGTGCTTTCTTCTTATTGAAAAGAATTTCGAGAATCAAAAGCTTTATTAATCTTCAATAGATATCGATTGTAAAATTTCAATGAGAGATGAAAGAAACGAAGAAGAAGAAAAAAAAAGATTCATTTTAGATTTTAATACTTCTTTATCCTTCTACCCTTTTATTTCATCTACATAGATATGTATTTAAATACAAATCTGAAGTAATAGATCCTGTTAGAGTATTCATATTTATCACTTGAAAAAAAGACTCTTAATTGATCTACGTGGGTTTTTTCTTTATCGTTAA